TTATAATCGAGTTATTTTACTTCGGTATGGTATGAAATGAAGATTGGTTGATATTCTATCATCTTGTAAAAAATCGCATTGACTTTCGACAGATTGTGATCTAAATTTGTTAAAGACATTCAACGTCGTCTTGATTATTCAAGATTAACTGAATACATTCGATAATAATGAAAGCGCGATCTAAAGAAAAAACGAAGAAAAAGTGTTCGAATTCTCAAAACAATAAATTTTTCTCATAAAAAAAGCAATCAAAACCATTTTCTGGGACATACCTAAGTTTCCAGGAAACTTTCTAGATTGATCAAGACAGTAGAAGTAAATTTCTCAAAATGTTCAGTATTTATTCCTACACCAAAACAAAATTTCTTGGAAGAATCAGAAGTTCATCATATATCAATGCGTAAACTGCCAGATAATTTCGATAAGAAACAGTCTGCAAAAAAGAAATCTTTGCCAACAATGCAATATGAAAAGTTTTTGTGCGAAATCTCTCTTGATTAATCAAATTGGACAAATATATTGTAGCTAATATGAAACCAGAAAAAAATACAAGAATTTTAGAAACATGTGATGTTTTGACTTTTCACGGTTATAATATAATATATACGGAATAAAATTGAAATTCTATTTAAATTTAGATTTAGTCACCATTTTCTATTATCATTGATTATTTATGTAGTTCAAGTTCTCCTATTAATATCGTCAGTGACGCTTGTGCATCGATTTTATTTACTCATTTTTGTAATATTAACTTGGTATTTGAACTTGATATTGTTCATTATTGATTAGACTTGATATTACATTTGATATCTATTCTATTCCATATATATTCGGTAATGACTGTGAATGGTCGAAATATCAAGTAGTTATTTTTTGGGTATTCTTTTTCATTCTTATAGTAGCTACAATATTGTTGTTCAATTTCATGAATTTATATTTAGCCATCGTATTCTATCACATATATGTATTGAATATTAGTAATTACTGCAAAACTATTAGTAAACTTCAGTAGATGCTGAAATTACCGTATAAATATTCTCGATAAATATCAATGTATTTTCATACGGAGAACAAGATCTTACCTTCGGAAATATTTGTAATTTTGAAAATTATCTACACTTAAAAAAATAGCGTTTTCTTCTCAATAATAAAGTACATTGACATATAGACAGAGAAAATTTTTCGTAACTCCTTTAAGTACTGAAATTTCCTACTCGTTTCTGAGGGAACATTTTTGGATAAGATCGTAAATCTACCATTTTCTTAAGTTTTACTTTTAATAGGTTAAAAACATGGAACATGAAATTTTGTATATTTCTGTGTATTTTGTTTATTTTTTGTTGTTGTTGAATGAAGCAAAGAAATTTTCGAGGACTAAATAGACGTATGAAGTAGATCAGTTTTGGGCGTTTTCGATAATAACTATGGTAATCATTTTTTTCTTTTTTTTAAACTCAATATGAAAAGTGATACTGTAGATAGATACATTTTTTTGTGATTTACAAAATGGCTTAGTGATAATGTTCATCGATTAGTTTATACAGGGTCATACAGTGCGAAAGATACTATTCTTGTATCATATAGACGAACTGTCATACTTTTGTAGGATGTTATTACATTTAAAAATGAAAGTTGTACTGAAAACCTTCATAATCAAAAACTGCATTATCTCATGCTTTATCAATTTATGTCATTTTCAGAAAAATCTATTTTGTTTTAAGATTCATTTTCGTAGAAACATTCTAAGAAAGTGACCATTGTGAGAGTATTATAATAGGTCTATATGATATGAGAACAGTATCTATCGCACTGTATGACCCTGTATAAAGTTATTGATGAAGATTATCACAATGTCATTTTGTAAACCATTATCACAATGTCATTTTGTAAACCATTATCACAATGTCATTTTGTAAACCACAAAAAATTCATCGATCTACTCTATTACTTTTCATATTGAGTTTGCAAGAGGAAAAAAAAATAATTACCTTAGTTATTATTGAAAACGTCCAAAACTGATGTACTTCATAAATCTATTTAGTCCTCGAAAATGTCTTTTCTTCCTTCAACGAAGAAAAGAAGAATAAATAAATATACAGAAATGTGCAGAATTTCATGTATCATCTTTTTAAGTTATTGAAAGTAAGATTCAACTGAATGCCAGATCTACCATCTTATCCGGCGGTACGTTTTCTCAGTAATTACTAAAATTAGCGATATTTTGTATGGTAGACTCTTCCTTCTCATATTGAAGTAGACTGAAATAACTTCCTAGTGACTCAGTAACTTCGTAATTTACTGTGAAATTTCGTATTTCTATTTGAGGATATTTCGTAATAATATTTGAGAAAATGTCGTATTTTCTGCTTAATTTACTTTTGCTTTATGACAGATTTCGATATATCCTATGAAATGTTGGACGTTACCTGTAAATTTCTGTTTTTCTTTCTTTTTCATAGATTCTTTCGATGTGTCAGAAGTTTAATTTTTTTTCGAAATCTGAACATACCTCAAAGATTAGATGTGAGTAAAAAAAAGAAAGAAGACTTGGAGATTCTGAATATTCATCTTCTGTCATCACTCCTCAATATTATTAATTTTTTTGAGATAGGAGGATAATAATGATCGAAAGTTTTGAATCTTAATTTCTTTTTTGTATTTAATTATATTGCAATCGAATAATAAAAGAAAAAAAAATGACAATGAAAAAAAAGAAATGATGAAATGATTAGATCAATGAGGGCGCATTGTTTTAAAAACATTGACAAATTTATCGAATGCTTCTTGTGATCGATTTCTTCTCATTCCATTAGCACTCGTCGTTGTAGATGTTGTTGAAACTGGTCCTGGACTAGTCGGAACATTACTATATGATTGATCGAAGCGAACTTGATCATATTCACTTGTTGGTACATCTTTTCCATGTGTTATAATAAGAATAAATAAACGTTTTATTTCCAAAATATCAATACGATTTTTAACTGTTTCATCAAGTGTTTCATCATAAATTTTTGAATATTCTAAACAAATTTCACATAAATCTTTATCTTCTTGTCCAATAATAGTACGTATTAAAGTAACATAATCAATTGGTGTTTTATCAAATGCTTGTCGAACTGTTTTAGCATGATAACTACTTGGTGATCGTACATATTCAACCATATCTTGAAAACATTCAATTTCATTTTTTTCTTTAAATTCATGTTCAATAGCATCTTGTATTGGTCGTCCATATTTATCTTCATATACATCAAATATAGCTGATAATTGTGAGAAAGCATCACGCGTAAAAATTCTTATAAATGTATCATAATCAATACCAGGTGTACCTTCACCAGCTTCATATAATTTTTTAGCTATATTTTTCGCTAATGTTGCTGAATGACCAGACTCTTCATAACGTTTACCTTCAAGTAATTGTATAAGTAAATTTGTTATAATATTTTCAATACCTTCAACAATACTAATATCATTTTGTATAGAACTTTCAAATAGATTTTCATATGTTTCTTTAAATTTTTGAATATCTTCATTATTTAATGGTAATAAAATTTCAACTAATTTTCTTGATATATCATAATTGATTTTTTTTAATTGTTTTTGTGTAAGTAAATCATGAAAATCACGTACATATAATTCAATTGGTTCAATTAACATTGCCAATGTACATGAACGCATTGGAGACTCAGGTCGTTCGAGTACCATATCAATTAGTTTATAACTATATTCAAATTCAAGATCACGAACAAGAATAATACGTTGTTCACATGTATATGATGATAAAAAATGAAGAATAAAATCTAAATCCAACGTATGTGCTGCTATACAATGTTTCATTATTTTGGATAAATATTTTGTATCACGTTTATAATCAAATTCTGCTGTATGACCGAATGAAGCGACAGTTGCTTGACGCTGAAAAATTGAACGAAAACACAGATTATTTTTCTGTTTTAATTATTTAAAAACAAAATCAAAGGTTACCTTGTTTACTGTTTTAGAAGGTGAGTGATTAGATGAGAAATGCATGTTTATTTGTTATTGGAAAAAAGAAACTGTGTGAGTATGAAAGGTTAAATTTATATATGTGTTATATGATGTTAGTTTTACAACATAAGAGAAATTCCGCATACTTACGGTTAAACGTCTATCTAATTTCGTCAAATCATTTGCGAATGTTTTTGATCTTACTAATGTTGTTACTTTTTTTATATCATGATGTGAAACTCTATGTAACAAATTTGACATTTGTTTTTACTTCGAATGAATTTATCAATAACAAAGAGAAAATAAATTCAAATGATAAAGTAATAATAAGTATATAGTGTTGATATTTATGTAAAAAAAATGCAATAAAAGGAAAAAACAAAAAAAGTGTATCCTTTTTCTATCACGCCATTTATATTGATGACACGGTAGATTGACGAGTGGGAAATATGTTTATTGTAAGTCATGCTTCGTCGATTTATCTCTCTGAGTAATAACGTAGCAAATGTATAGTTCACAATAAAGAGAGAAGAATATTTTAAAGACCAGACGTATACATTTACTCTCTGTGCTTCGAACAACATTTAATCATATTTTTTCCTCTTCTTTCGTGTCAAATAAATGATCATACTTTAAGGTTATAACCGAAGAGTATTTTATAGGACAATGATTATTAGATTTGAAAGGATACATAAAAGATAAATTCAACATGATCAAGTGTGTTCAAATGCGTTGAACCATAAACTAATGAACTTTGAAATAAAATGATGTGTCTTTTGTTATGTTTACTAATATATATTGCTATATTTAACTTGAATATGTATCGATAATGTCTCTTATTGTACGAATTTGATTCGGATTAACATTACAACATCCTCCAATGTATTTTATACCAGCATCAATATACGAATTAATAAATGGTGCAATTGATTGACCTTGACTCTTGAAAGCTCTATCATTATAAACAAAAAAGAATAGAATGTATGCAGAAAAAAATAAGAAAAAGATTATTTTTACTGTTTTTCAGAATCCCATATAACACCAGCATTAGGATAGGCTATAAAATCACAATCGATTTTATTCATTTGTTTGATAAGAGGAACAACTGTGTCTGGATGTACACAATTTACACCGACAGCTATAATTTGATCAGAAGCTTTAAGACAAACAGATGCAGCTGCTTCTTCAATTGGTTCACCATGTGCTGTCCTTTTAGAATCCTAAATATGTATACAGGATGATTCACTTATATTTAGTAGTTTTCTTCAGTTCATTGTGCTTCTACAAAAGGTCAGAAATCTTTTTATTTCTATATGATTAGATAGAACATTGATTACTTTATTCAACGGTATAGCTTTCATTTGTTTTATCACATGTCTTGATTAAAAAAATTAAAACTATTCTAAAACTAGCTAAAAAAAAAACTTTTGTAAACGTATACTGGACACAGGCCAAATTTGATTGTCGCGAAATTAGCCTTAAATGGAAGAGATCCTTCAAACTTAATGTTGTACCAAATATTGAATGAAACTGTTTTGAATTTGAGAATAAAATAAAATTTTACTATTGAAATTTAAGACACTTTCGCACTACTTCATTTCCGGTGCTATTCGTATAATCTCAAATTTAGTTCTAAGATTTTATAACTAAATCAAGCTAAAATTGCATGAAT